TTTGGAGAGGATTCAAACCAGGATATTACAATTGGACACCCTATGGAGAAACTTCATTTAGAAATGACAGTGGATCATATTCCCTCAATGTTGATGATGTTAATGATGATATGGAAGGCCTATTAAATGATGCATTTGTGTTTGAAAGTATTACTGCAGATGAACATGAAGAAATAAATAAACCAAATGCGGATGCTGCAAAATTTTATAAGTTGATAAGTGACTCACAACAAGAATTATTTTCTAGATGTAAAAAATTCACAAAACTTGATTTTCTTGTTAGGATACTTCGACTTAAATGCATCGGTAATTGGACTCAGAAATCATTTAATATGTTGCTTTACTTGTTAAGGGAAGCAATTGAAGATATTCGTGTACCAAAGTCTTATTACGAGACATAAGATATTCAGGATTTGGGCTTGTTATAAAAAATATGATGCATGTCGCAATGATTGCATTTTATATTGGGGTCCTCATGAATTTAAGAATAAATGTGATATTTGTAATGAGTCAAGATGGGTTGCAGAAGATAGCACTTCAAAAGATATATCAATTAAAAAAAATAAAAAGGTTGCAGGAAAAGTCATGTGGCACTTCCCATTAACATCAAGATTGCAGAGATTGTTCATGTCATCTAAGACTGCATCATATATGATATGACATAAAGAAGATCGCATAAAAGATGGTTGCATGAGGCATCCGGCTGACACTCCAGCTTGGCAGCACTTAGACTACCAAGATACAAATTTTGCTGCAGATCCTAGAAATGTACGATTAGGTTTTGCATCAGATGGATTTAATCCATTTGGGACAATGACTTCAACTCACATAACTTGGCCTGTTGTATTGATGTCATATAATTTGCCACCTAACCTGTGTATGAAATCACAATACATAATGCTTTCTTTGCTTATTCCTGGGCCAACTCAACCTGGAAATGATATTAATGTTTATTTACAACCGCTTGTGGCTGAGTTAAAAGAGTTATGAGAAATTGGTGTATAGACTTATGATACATGTTCTAAGGAGAATTTTCAAATGCGAGCTGCATTATTATGGACTATAAATGATTTTCCATGTTATGCTAACTTATCAGGTTATAGTACAAAAGGGAAGTTTGCATGCCCTACTTGTCAAGAGAGTACATGTTCTGAGTGGTTACATTTCAGTCGTAAAAGATGTTATATAGGACATCGGAGGTTCTTAGATCACAATCATCCTGAAAGAAAAGATAGTCGATATTTTAATAGTTGTGAAGAACATGAGACAATACAACCACCAATTAACGGATCCAAAATTGTTGATATGTTAAGAAGTATAAATGTGAAGTTTGGAAAGAAAACACCTGCTAATCCTAATTTGCCTTCTAATTGGAAGAAGTTTAGCATATTTTTTAAGTTTCCGTATTGAGAAAAAAATCTTTTGCGCCATAACTTAGATGTTATGCATATTGAAAAGAATGTATGTGATAAGATTTTGGGTACGTTATTGGATCTTGATGGAAAGACAAAAGATCATTTGAATGGACGTAAAGACATGGAAAAAATGGGAATACATCCTACATTGCACCCTACTTGTACTTCATCTGGACATACTCTTTTACCTGCAGCATGCTTTATAATGAACAAAAAAGAGAAAGAAATTTTCTGTAAAGTCTTGAAAAATATTAAAGTGCCAGATGGATATGCATATAATATTTGAAAACGAGTGCAACTGAAACCATTGAAAATACTTGGATTAAAGAGCCATGATCATCATATAATAGTGCAAACAATTGCTTCCATTATGCTTAAGACGAGTCTTACCTAAGTCAGTTCACTCTCCTTTAATTCGTCTAAGTCATTTTTTTCAAGGTTTGTGCTCTAAAGTTCTTCTCCCAATTGAGCTTCTTATATTGGAAAAAGAAATCGCAATTACACTTTTCCATCTTGAAAAGATATTTCCTCCTGCTTTTTTTGATATCATGGTGCATTTGACAATTCACTTGGCCACCGAGGCAAGGATTGGAGGTCATGTATATTATCGTTGGATGTAACCTATTGAGATGTTAGTAATTATTTCATGTATAATTATTTCTTTTATCATAAATAACTTTAATAAAAAATTAATATCATTTATCAATCAAATTTTTTAGATTTTTGGGGAAGTTAAAGTCATATGTTCGAAATAGAAGTCGTCCAGAGGGATCAATTGTAGAAGGCTATATTGCGGAGGAATGTTTAACGTTTTGTTCTTTATATTTTGCTAAGCATGTGGAAACAATGCATAATCTACTTGGAAGAAATTAATTGGATGAGAATGTTTTGAATGAAGGGCTTAATATCTTTGCAACAAATGGCTGGGCACTTGGAAAGAGAGAGGTCAAGATCTTCAATGATGAGACACTCACAAAAGCACATCGATATGTCCTTTTCAATTGTGAGGAAATAGAGCCATATGTGAGGTAAAAAAATAGTCCAATAATACATATTTTTATTTTTAATATAAATACTATTATTATATTCTTATAAATTTTATGTTTATATACAGTGAACATTATACTTTAGTCAGAAAAATGATAAGATAAAAAAGGTCTCACTATGGAGAGCATGAAGCTAAAAGGGTAGTTCAACAAGTTTTTTATGTGGAAGATCCTATTGATCCTACATGGTATATTGTTGTTACAACATCACCAAGAAGTAATATTGATAACATTCACATAAACACAGATGTTGATGACTACTTGCAAAGTAAGACTTTGACTAAGTAATATTTTAGTGATGATGAAGTTCAGTGGACTAGAGATGAAGTTGATGGCATTCTACTAGAGTAATTGATTTGTGTGCTATTTATTTTATAATGTAAAACCCTTTTTTATTTTACCCTTTTTTATTCTTAAATCATTAGATCATTATATCAATCTAATTGGTATGCAACATTTTGTGATTTTATGTGTTTCCTATATGTGTTTATCTAAACGTTGCATTTTGTTTTGATGTATTGAACCTTATATTTTTTTAAAAAATATTTTCTTACACTTTAATTTTCTCCATAGATTATGTGAGCAACATGAGTTATTAATTGTATTGTTTATCTTCTATTAAACTCTACTCACTTATATAGATATTAAAATGATTTTTAAGAAATGCCAGCACACACCAGAACACATGTTAGAAATACATGATGCAGAGAACAAACTGAAGTTGAAATATAGATGTTCCGACAAATATCCTTGAAACTTATGTTACAGGTATGCCTCTTATTTAAGATATTGTCAAAACTTTATATGCTTATTTTTCATTTGCATTATCTTACTTACAAGATTTTAATTTTAAGATATCTTTTCATAGCAGGTAGAAGCAATGAGGAGCAAAAACGAAAAAGAGGTCCAACCTATATGTGTAGTATTTGGGGATATCATGCTACCCAACATGGTGGAGAACGACTTGTTGTTAATTTTAATAAATATGGTCAACCTATTGGGCAAAATAAATCATTATTTGTTGAGTTCTTAGGAACTATTGCTCGAAATAGGAAACATGCACCAATTGATATAAGAAGTTGGGATAAAATGCCGAAGCCTTTAAAAAAAATATGCTAGAAGTTGTTAAGGTATTTATCTTCATAATATTTATACTTATTTTGTTTGATTTAAGTTGCATGCACAAAATAGCAAATTTTTTTGGATATAACAAATAAATATTTTATTTTTTAGGAGAAGTTTGAGATTCCCCGTGCTTGTGATGTATGGGTTCTCCAATCAATTAGGAAGAAATGGAGAAATTGGAAAGCAGACGTTAAATCTAGATATTATGATCCAAAAATGTCTACATAATTATAACTATGTAATGTGCCAAAAAGAATACTCAAAGATCAATGGAAAAATCTTTTAACCTATTGGAATTCAGAAGAATCAAAGGTATATTATTATAACTTTTAAATTTTAAAGTATTATTCATGTTCTATTTTTTTTAATTCATATTTGTGTTTAGTGTATAAGTGAACGAAATAAAAAAAGTAGGTCGAAAAAGAGTTTGATGCACATCACTGGAAAAAGGAGTTTCGGTCAAGTGCGTGAAGATCAGGTAAAATTTATGTCTATGCATATTTGTGCCAATATGTGTTTTACATAAATTTTGAAGTCAATTATTATTTTCTTTTAATTATTTTTTACATTATTTATGTATTTTTTTAGGAGAAAAGCATAGGTCACTCACCAACAAGAGTTGAAATGTTTGAAAGGTGTTACACAAAAGAAGGAATTACTAATAGTATTGAGGCTTGTGAAGCTTTGGTAAGTACTTATAATAAACTACTTCATAAATTAATTATAAAGTATACAAACATTTATGTGAAATAGTTAATATTCATTATATTTAAGAAAAAATGAAGAAAATAAGAAGTCAAATATCTCAAACAGAAAATTTTGGAAAAGATGATATTTTCTCAAAAGTTCTTGGAAATGACAAGGTCGGAAGAGTTCGCATGTATGTATTTAGTGTTACTCCTTATGTTGCATGGGGAGAAATCCCAAATCGACGTAGTGCTTATCGATTAATAGAAGGTTACAAAGAAGCTTTCGAAAAAAATGGAAAAGCAAGTTCAAGAACAGGGTGAGGTAATTGCTAAAATGAAGTTGGATATGCAAAGTTCACAGCAAGCTACTAATACCACCCCGTTAAGAGCTACTCAATATTCTCAAAATGGTGATGTACATTCTTTCAATAACAGTACTCTTATTCAAGTAAGCAAATTATTACTTATGAACTTTTATAGTCATATTTTTATCTTTCATATGTTGTTACAAATATTTATGTTAGATCTTATGAACTTCATATATATAGGTTGGAACTAAAGTGGCAGTCAAAAGTGTTCTTGATTCTTGTTGGCAAAAATTTTAATTTAGGTTGTTCGTAATGATTACTTTTTTATGTTATTGACTTTCTACTGCATGAAGATTGGAATTTATGCTAATATTCTTTGATGCTTTCTCATTTGCTTGTTCAATATTTTTTGGAATATTGTTTATGTTATTTCTCAACCAAGAATGTCTAATTCCTAATCACAAATGTGATTGGAGATGTTAAATTGAGCACTTGTTTGGAAATATATATCACTGCAAACTATAACCTTATTTGTGATAGAAATTGAGGATTTTATATGATAACCATAGCTCCCTTTGTAGAGTTAGTGTGTGGGTTTTCTCTCTTTTAGGAGTTGAGGAGCAAGCATTGAGAAGTATTCCGAGGAAGCTCAAAGTGGAGAACTCTGATGGCTATGCATTTAAACTATATTTAGTTTTTGCAAAGAGGACTCGTTACAACTTACAACATAGATTTATAAAGTTCTATATAATTGTATCTGATTTCTACAGCTCCCTAACACAATTCGTTCACATTAGTTACCCTGTAACATCTTTGTATTTTCATTTTTTTTTATTCATGAATCAGGAAATGTGTGTAGAACATTCTAGCATTGCTTCTTTTTCTTTGTTTTTATGAACTAATAAAAAAAAAAAAAACTCGATACATTTTTACAGCATGCTGGAAGACTAGAGAGCCTGCACCGTATCTCCACCTGGCTCGCACTTTTGAATTGGTAGAGCAAGAAAAAGGCAAGATAAAAACTTCTGCTATGTTTTGCAACATGTTCAGAAGGTCTGTTGAGAAAATTTTTATTGTTTCATTTTATTTCTCGCATGAGATTTCATTGCTTTCACAAGCAGTTGTTATTATTATTTGTTTATGCTATACAGTTTGCTTGCTTTGTCACCTGGTGATGTGCTGCTGGCAGTATATCTATGCACAAACAGGATTGCTGCTGATCATGAAAACATGGTTTGCCTAGCTTCTCAAATTGAGGGTTTTTGTTTTTTATATTTCTTGATGTAGAAGACATTCCTTTCATAAAACAATTGCATAAAGAAAAATTAACTTCAGCTTTTTTGTGTAGTAGCATCTTTCCTTGTGTTAGTTTTTTTCTATAATTGAGACAGAAAATTCTCTTTCATTTATTGCAGCCTTCATAGTGTGCTTTTTTTTTAAATTTTAAAATACCATCCACCAAATATTTCTATTGATATGAGTTACTATCATTATTTTTGAAAAGTTTTACCTGATTGAAGCTTATCAATATTCCTGTACCTTTGAAGCTTTGCTAGTTATTTTATTCATAACCTCATCTTGCAGGCATTGAACTTTGCCTTCAAGGATTACTTCAAGAGATTGTTCAACTTTAAAAAGGATAGAGATGGCTATTGGAAGTAGTTTGCATGCAACTTGGCTTCCGGAGGTGCCACTGGTGCTTCTTCCCTTCTGTTTGTCTACTCTCTGGATTATGCTCGTACCCGTTTGGCTAATGATTCCAAGGTAGAAAAGAAGGGTGGAGAGCGGCAATTCAATGGCTTGGTTGATGTATACAAGAAGACACTTCAATCAGATGGCATAGCTGGCCTGTACCGTGGATTCAACATCTCTTGTGTTGGCCTCCGCTGCTTAGGTGGCTACGAAATCATAGCTGCTGGAGTTGCTGCTGAACTTTCAAGTCGAGGGAACATTTCCAGACAGAACTCTAACAAGTCAAATGTATCATCTTTGCATATAGTAGCGAGATGAAAGGCCAAAGATAGCAGTAAGCTCAAAGCTGAAAGGCGAACCCAATAAATGTGTAAACATGGAATATGATCAAGTCGAAGGTTTCGAAGGGGTGAAAGAAGACGTGCGTAAGCTGCCCAGAGATAGGTGGTAAAGTTCAATATTTATATTTGAGTAATTCAATCATTGCATTTCTTGACTTTTTATAATATTTATATGTTAACTAATTAGATGGAGCTACATCTTCTTTTGGATTCAATGATATTGAAGAACTTAATGAGGCTTCTAGTTGTAGGTATAGGCTATTCTTGTTTCATAGTTTCTCAGCTGTAACCATTTAGCATTCATAAACTTAGTGAGAATTGTGAAATATTGTCTTACTATAGAATTAGTTTGTTTAGAAGTAAACAAACATTTTAAAAGATTTTGTTGGAATGAAAATATACATATATTAATGTCAAAATGTTTTTAATGATTTCAGATTCCAGATTCCAATTTATCATTTTGATCACAAGCAGAAGTGGATGACAATGAAGCGAGGAAATAGAGATCCGAAGATTTGATTGCTATTGAATAAAGAAATCGCCCTCATGATAAGGGCTATTTTTTTTGAATTTTCATGTAATATTTTGTGATCATATTTATTGTATAGATTGATTATGTACATATATGAAGCTTGAAGTTGCCTTTTTTAAGGTGAAAAATTCATGTAATTTTTTATTTATGAAATAAATTTTTATTTGAAAGAAAATACTTATGTAAGCTCTCATATGTGAGATTTTTAGAAATTGGATTGGAGATTAAGTATTTGTAATTGAAATATTATGAGTTGGCATAATTTTTTTGATAATTTAATATAATTTATATTGAGTAAAGCATATATTGAGGCATATAATAGTGTGAATTTATTAAAATTATTTTGGTAAATTGAAGTGTTGGGATATCATATATCTTAGGGCAAGTTAAATATGCCTTATTATTAAACATGTTCCATTAAATAAATGCATTAGGAAAGTTAACCTATTATGACACCTAATATTTGTCATATTTATTAACAATTTACATCATATTAAGATGTTATAAAAGCTTGTTTTTAAGGACACCTTACAGGTGTAGGTGTCATTAAAGAGGCTATTCCATCAAAATTATATGTCATTAAAGTTTAGTTTTTATGGCACAAAAAGATGTCCTTAACCCTATGTCAATGGCCACCTAAGTAACACCATTGTTTGATGTCTTAATTAATATATTATGTGCCCTAATAGATACATATTAGAGCACTTTAATGTGTCCTAATAACCATTATTTTTTGTAGTGATAATAATTTATTTTTGACTAAAATATATGATTAAATATTATTAATGTAATATATCAACATCAAGATTTTTTCCCGGTGCGTTATGCATTCAAGCACAAACAATAACAACAAGATTATATATGAATATAGGATAATTTTATGTGACTGTGACAGTGAGTAACATTATCATATTATATATAGTAAAAGTTATATAAATTGTTCATACAATTCAATTTAATTAATCGAAATCAAACTCACACTACAAAAAAATGTTATTTTTAAAAGCGTTTAATAGTAGCATTTTTATAGCAGCTGCTAAAAGATTTTTTTAGAAACGGTTTAAATGGGGCTCGTAACCGCAATAATTAATACTCTCAAC